AAGTCCTGGGATTTTTACAGCTGGAAAAAAAACCAGGAAGGGGGAAGATGATAGTGATCTATTAGTAGAGAAAGTAAATATGGAAGTGTGATTTACTGCTTCACCCCCACCCCAACCAGGGTCACCCAGTGAAATTGACAGGCAGTGGGTTTAAAACAAGCAAAAGGAAGTGTTTCTTCAAACAACACACAACCTCTGGAACTCACTGCCAGAGGATATTGTGAAGACCAAAACTGTAACAGGGTAATCAAGAGCTACGTCAGTCCATGGAGGGAGGTTAACTCCATCAGTGTCTAATCGGCAAGCTGAGCAGGGTCAAAGCCCTGTGCTCTGAGTTGCCAAAAGCTGGCACTGGCTGACGGCGGATGGATCACTCAGTGACTGCCCTGGTCTGCTCATTCCCTAGGATGCACCTGACTTTGGCCACTGTCAGAGGATAGGACGCTGGGCTGCAGGGAATTGGTCTGACTCAGTGTCAAGATGTCAAGAAAGGGTCGAGCACTCTTGGGATAACTGACCCAAATTCAACCGTTGGGGACATACTGTCAGACACTGTCAGGGTGTGCCGGGGTGCGCACCTGTATTAATAGAGGTGAACAGTGTAAACGAATGGTTCCTGTTTACACTGAATTCACCCCTCTTTGCAGGGGATGGCAAACCATCTGGGTGCGAGGCCTCCCTCTTCAGCTAACCTGTGGACCACGGATGCTTGGGAGAGGCCTCTGTTTGGAAGGGTCCATGAGGGCCTGTTGCTCACCCAGGCTGGAGTGGCTCCGAGCCTGCTGGGAAACACGCTGTATAAAGGGCCTGGCGTCTGATGCTTTCCATCTCCCATCTGCTGGGATGCTGGGTAGAGAAATATTCAAGTCACAGACTGACATCCCGGCACACCCTGGTGCCCCTGAAATGGCCATTGAATTGGTAACTCCGCACTGAGGCAGGAAGAACCATTTGCAGCTACAAAGCTCATCAACTCCACCAGGATATGGGATCTCAGGAGTGAATTCACGAGGGGGCTGGCACTGGTCTTCAAACCAGCACACTCTCTCTTTGCTTTCTTGTCCCAGACATTTGTGTAGTTCAGAACAACTCGCTGGACACGTGTGTCGGGGCCAACTGTGAAATATTCACGAACCTGGGGGGTACCGTGCCTGAGGCCTTAGGGACGAGTCAGAGCTGCCGTGCGCCCATCCCATGGCCCTGGGCTCGGGAGGGTGCCGGACGCGGGCTGCTCGGGGGGACGGTGCTGTTGGCGACGGGGTAACCAGGAAGGCGTCACAGGGGCTGTTCAGGGCTGGCTGGTGAATCTGAAGAAGGGAACAGCCACCAGCTGTGGGGAGGGGCTGCCCCATCCTGTGCAGCTTGGCCCTGCCTGAGTGCCCTCGGCTGGCTGCCTGGGATCCCTGGGCACACGCCGGCCGGGCCTCTGTTCCTGGGCAGGCTCCAGGCCGGGGGCAATTAGCTCTTGCTGCTGTACAAGGCGTCTGTGCCTGATTAGCCCCTGGTCACACCTCAGCCTCCGCCTGTGTCCCAGGGGCGGGGGGAGTCCCCGGTGCTGCTGCCAGGATGCTGGATAAATACTCCCGGTGCCTGGCAGGCTGCAGCCTGCGCTCCAGGCAGCCGGGCCCGGGGGCTTGTTCCTTCCACTGAAGATCATTGTCCTGCCCACCCGGTGAGTCGGCTGCGCGGAGAGACGGGGGTGATTCTCTGACCCCTCTGTGGGGAGACTCCAGGCAGAGACCAGCCCCACAAAGC